TTTTTTAGTGTTTGGTGTATGTATTTTGCCAATTTATGTGTGGGGGCGTTGGTATTGTTTATTACCGGCCTGATTGGGGCCTCTTGTTTGTGAATTTTAATTTTTGCATTCATGTTGGGTGCTTTTGGGTTCATTTGTTGAACCTGTTTCTTTGTTGTGGAGTTTATTATTGTTTTGCATTGTTTTAGCGCGTTTTGAACGGCTTTTTGGAATTTTAGTGTGGGGTCTTTGTTTATTTCCATGATATTATTATTGTCAATGAAATGTTTAACTCTTTTGTTTAGGTCGTCTTTGTAAAGGATCACTAATGTTTTTCCTTTATCTGCTTCGGCAATTGTTGCTTTGTTTTGTATTAGTTTTTGTTTTATTTGTTTGGTTGTGTGTATATGTTGTTTGTATTCCTTATTTGTTGTTTTGTTCTTTAATATTTGTTGTATGTTTTTCGTTGCTAGGTATCTTATGGCTTCTTGTTGGGTGTTGTCTGTTATTTGCCTTATTGCGTTTTCTGTTTCGTAGATTAGTTGCTTTATGTGGTTTTTAGGTGGTATTCCTATATTAAATTTGGTACCTTTGTTTAATAGGTTAGTTTCGTTTTCGGTGAATTGTATTTTGGTCATGTTGTGTAGGCGTGGGTAGAATGTTTGTTTGTTCTTTGGTTGGATGTTTTCGTTTAATTGGCTTTTTAGTTTATTGATTTTGTTATTGAGTTTTTCATAGTGTTTCTTTGATTCCTCGTTTAGTTTCTGATTTATGTTGTTTTCTATCAATGGCCAGCTGGTTTGCCAGTATTGGGCATTTTCTAGGTGTGATTTATAGAGTTGATTATTGATATTTTGTTTTTTAATATATAGAAATTTTAGTTCATTATTTATTCTAATTTTTATTAGTTGTTTCTGAGTTAATTTTGTTGCGTTATTAGAGCCTTTTAGTTTTAGGTTGGCATACCTTGGTGTAATGTTTTTGTTCTGGCAGGTCCGATTAAACCATATGTGAGCGTTGGTTGTTAGTAGTTTCCTTTTCGTCTTAATGTATCGATTCACCAGTTTAGCTTGACTAGCTTCAATAAGTTTAAGGTCACATTTGACGGAAGGAACTTGATTGTTAATTGGTTAGTGTGACGGACCAGAATGAAAGACCTTAAACTTAATGAATAAGTAGTTACTATAGGATTCTGACGATGGTGTATAACACACTGATATGTTGGGATTTTGGACTTTATCCATCGTCCTGGTTTTTAAGTTAACAAATAGTGTTTTTATTTGTTATGTTAAAAACCAGGACGATGGATAAAGTCCAAAATCCCAACATATCAAAGAATGAATAGGTCTGTAGAATGTAATGCATCAGTTATGGAGGAATTTAATCAGTGTCTGTTGACCTATACATTATCAGTTTTTTAGTAGCAATTTGAAGATAAAAACATTAGCCTTAGATGCTAACAGTTGAGCTGTATGTATGTCTGTCTCCCTAACATTATTTATCTTATGTATATACCTTTATTACCCAGCTAAAGTATTTTTTCACTTTTTCGAAATTTTGTATGAAATTATATTCTTCATTGCTTAATAAGTTAAGTCTATGTTGGTATCCCTTCTTAAATTAATGTTTACTTGTATACACTCTCAAATATTTTTGTTCTTACTGTTTATTTTGAAGTCATAAAACATGCACTTTCTTCTTTTTCTTTGTTTGTACATGGAAGTTTTGCAGTGTTTCTTGACTGACACTGTGGAGACTATCTCCATTTGTTTGTTTTGAAAGTTGCAGTCATTACATGTTAGCCTGCTTTCTCTGTTCTAATTATTTTAATGAACCATGGCAATTTTAATTAACTGCACAAGTTATTCCATGTTACTGTATTCACTGACATAAATACCGGTAGCAGTAAGTTGTCCTTGAAATTTGGAGGTGCTTATCAAGTCAAGGAATAATTGAGATATATCTGGCATAAATAAGATGTGATTTCTCAGCATCAAAGCTAAGCTGTGTCCATGACCAGGGAGTGTGCCCCACTATGTAGATGGAAGGAAGAACTTCTGGTGTTTTATTTTTTTGTTTCTTATATGTTTTCCAATTATCTAGTGTATTATACAGGGTGATTCATATAGAACCAGCCTGACGAAATGAGGTGTAATATAAAATATACCATACAGATATTAAAGTAATTTACACATATCTTATCTTTGATTGTGTGCCGTGATCAGAGCAGGTGTTGAAAGTGTCCGCTGTTTTCAAGTAGGCATTAGAAACACTCACCGTTCAACAGTGTACTCCATGACTGTCGCCTGCGCACTGCAGACACGTTTCGGCATTGTCCTTGACCTTGCAGCATAAGGGCTGCCACTTGCCGGATCATGCGCACACTATTTGACTTAGCACGGCCCACGGATTATTATGTCGTAATTTTGAGCAGTTATATGCATTACCTGCGAAATTATTAGCAAATTCATTGGGCTGGTTCTATATGATTCACCCTATAGAATGATTATACAAAAATTTAAATGAAATAACATGACTTTATAATTTAAATGTTTTATTATTTATGTGTGTTTTATTTAGTAACAATTTTTAGGAAATAAAAGAAAATGAAGAACATAATTTGTGGCGCAGAATTTTCCTTTTTTCTGAGAGATTCTCTTGTACTTTTGCTACAGGTGATCCGTGGTCTTCGTCACATGACCAATACACTGATTGAGAGTCCAACAGGTTCAGGCAAAACGTTGTCCTTAATATGTTCATCTCTTGCATGGCAGAAAGCAGAGTTCGGTGAGTTTAGAAACTATCATTTCTGTTCGCTCCTTTCTTCTTGCAGGTTCCTTGCTTGGTTTACTCTTCAACCCTAAAGATGGAGGTTGTATGTTTCTGTGAAACGGTTGAATTTCACCATTGTATATGGTGTTATATTCTAGAAAATAGAACTCCTGTCATTTTTTCTGTGTTACTTGTTTGCGTGGCATGTTAAATGGGGTAAACACATCTGTTGAATAAGAGGTAGTTGTCTTTAACAATTTTTAGAATTAGGACAGCCATACTTGCTAAGATCCTCTTAGTCACTGTGCAGGCCTCAGTGGCGACATCATGTCTGTAGGTGGCAGTGGCTGTCCATGAATGTCAGAACAAAGGGGGGTTAGAGGACCAAATAAAATTCACTCTCCCACCATGCCTGTATTTAGAGAAAGGGGAATGTTTATGTTCTATTTAAACGTTCATATTTTAAGTGCTGCTCTTTATGTTTCATAGTACTTTTTTTTAAAGCAACTTTAGGTTCATTTTCTGTTGACAAAACAATTTAAACAAAGAGATTGTGACCTATGGCCTCTGGCTGAACGCCTTATTCCTCTTAGAAGAAATAACAATTCTACCTTGTGTTTGGGAAGGAGTCAGACTCTGCCAAGCTCACCTGTGGCATCTGCTATTGACGTGTTGATTGTACAGATGAATGCTTTTACAGGTGTTTTGACAGAAATGCATATGAGCCTGAAAATGAAGGTTCTGTCACTTACTGGGCTCGACCAGCTACATTCCTCACACCTTTCTTGAGGGTTGTTTGATAATAATAACAACAAAAATTTATGTGACTGTTGGCCACTTTGATATTGTCTTTAAATTGTGTTTGATATTTCTTAATTGACATCTTTTCATGTGGGGTATCTATTTTAGTACCAGCTTCGAAATTATATTATTTTTGCTGCTGTAATATTGCCCTGAAATTATTGCTGCAGACCCAATATCAGAATTTTCATCAGCACAGGGTTCCTAATAAGCTTTCTTGCATCCTTGTGTATCAGGCTTGTGACTCAAATACGTATACACATGCATGACATACACACTGACCTAATAAATGCAGAAAACACATGAAAACCTAAAATATTAGGACATGTTTCTCTTTTAATGTAGCTGAGTATCTGTAGTGGGAGAACAACGTTCAGACAAGTGAGGTGGACATGAATACATGCTGAACTCCCCAAAGCCCCAGTGGGCCCCAGTCTCTCAGCCCAAGGGGAAAGCATGACATGTATTGACGTCACAGGCAAATTGAAGGAACTTCGTAGAAAAGTGAGCTAAAGCTAGGACTTGTGAGGCAAGGCCCTTCATAAACTTTCTACAACCTAAGTAACATTTCTACAATTTTTTTAACATTTTTTTTCTGCAATGAAAAATGTAAACAATTTAGAAATTCATCAAACTGCTGCTAATACATTGAGGCATTAAATGTTGGTGGGACCCAACCCTTCTATACCCTAAAGACTGGCGTTCCCTGGTAACAGACGAGCATAGTCCCTGATTATGCCGAATGATTTTTTTTTTTCATATGACCTGTCCAATGAAAAGTTTGTTCTAGGCTTTAGCATGTGTTTTCTAAAAAAATATGCTGCATTTTATTTTTGTCACATTTGTTTCTTGCTAGATTAGTTCATCATCAGCATGACTTAGGCTCTTCTGAAGGTCCTGTTCTGTGGTCTCACTTCAAGGTTTAAACTGTAGCTATTAAATTAAAAATGGTTCTCACAAGCTCCTGCATGGGCATCCTTGGTCTGAGAGTAATTGAGAAAATCCGTTTTGCTCCAGTTTTTGTAGGTGCTATATTTGAATACAAGAGTGATCACAGAGAATCAAGAAAATTGGCTGTCCTAGATCCATTCTTCAGCATTGTAAATAAGAAGGGCTTGTTTGTTATTTTTTGGGGACTGTAGTTTAATGAAGGGGCTGCAGAAATCCTCTGTTATGAAAATTGCCAAATGCCATGAAGGACACACACTTTTTTCCATCAGTCTGAAAGTACTGAGAATTGCTGGGTTTTTGGACTTTGTCCATTATTCTAAAAACACAACGTTTCATAAACTGAATCTATTTCCATATTCATCTGAGGAGGGAGACATCTACTCTGTTGGGCCCCTTAGAAAGAACTAACCTCAGGCACTGGGCCTGGTCCAGCCTTTCTAAAGGACCCAATAGAGTAGGTGTCTTCCCACTCACCTGAGGACGGAAACAGATCCAGTTTCTGAAACGCTGTGGTCTCTAGTTTTTAGAATACCAGACAATAGGAAAAGTCTAAAAAACTCAGTAATTCTGAGTGTTACCTACAATTGTCAGAACCCTTTATAACCTACCAGTCTGAAAATATTTTTACTGTCTTGCATAATATAGTAGTTACACAAGATAAGAAAAATATTTGCAGAACTTGGTATGCTTAATTTGATGACTGGAGGTACTTCTTTATTGTTAAATGTTACAGTTCATTCAGTTTTGCATTGCTTAAAGCTTACATTTTACATTGGAGCTGGAGAACTTGCAGTTAGCACTCGGTGTGTGTGTTTTTTTTTTAAGTTTCTATGTGTCTTTCACACTTCAGACTTGTCTATGTGCATCAGTATGCTGTTGATTAGCATCGTTAGTACAGATTGTATGCTGATGAAGATTTGGAGATTAATTTTATTGGATTTGAGGTTCTCAATGTGGTCATATAACGCTATGTAGTCTGAATGATATGAACTTATTTCCGATTATATAATAATGTTAAAATATTTTCCATAGAGCCTGATTTTGATTTATCGCTGAATCATGTTCCCCAAAGGGCACTTCTGCCAATTAGTGGTCTGTCAGCTGTACTGTATTTGCTTTGTAATTTTGAGGAATGGGAAGCTTATGTTACGGTGTGGATGTGTGTGCCTCTTGTGGATTGTGGCCAGTCTCTCTGACCCTTAATGCTTAGAATGCAGACCAATGTGAGGAAACATATATAGCAATTTGCAGAACACAAAAGGAAAGTATTACATAAGAAGGAAGAATGTCTGCATGAAGAATTAAGCAAGCAATCATTTATAAATCAGGAAGAATGGCATTCTTTGTGTTCATGACACAATAACATAAGGACATAGCTGAAGCAACAAGAAGAATATGACTGAAGTAATGTTCATATCAATAATTATAATTATTGACGTGCTAGAGTTTTCTGGGTGGTCAGTAATGTCAATATTGAATTAAAAATCAACATTTTTTGTTCAACATTGATACAGCTGATTGCCCAAGAAGATTTTAACACATTTATTCACCATGAAAGCTTAAAATCTTATGTAATTATTCACATTAATTTTAACTTTATTTTAATATCAGTAAAGATTTTAGCAGCTGGTCACAGTAGTTGCATGGTCTAAGGCATGAACTGTCTTCGCTCGCCTATACCTTTCGACCGTGGGTTCGAATCCCACTCAAGCTATGGATGTTTGGTGTGTGTATGTGTTTATTCTGTGTTTGTGTTGTCCTGTATGAGTATTTAGGTAGCGACCTTACGATGGGCTGATCACTTTTCCAAGGAGTCCTACCATCTGTGAAAAAATGATTACAAAACTGAATAAGAGGCCTGGACCCTGACTGGTCTTGAAAAGCCATTTAAATATAAAGATTTTAGCATGTTTGGTGAACATCTTCAATGAAATATTTTAATTATAATCCTAAGCATGATGGTGAGATAAGTATTGTATAGTGAATGTGTCAGGTGAATAAAACAAAAATTGTTGCCTTTGACAGTTCACTGTTATGCTAAATACTTGTACAAATAATGCATTGGTATGAGGAAGGTAAAATTTATCTTGATTTTGTTATTTGTTATATATTTTTTGTTTCCTACAGGCCAATTGTAAAATGTTACATTGAAAAAGACTGTGGTGTTTTTATCTCGATTCCTATATTAAACAGAGATATAAATGTACTTAATAGTATCTAGCAGAAGTGTTAGAATCCGATCACAGTGGCCGTGTGGTCTAAGGCATGAACCATCTTCGCCTGCTTGAACACTGGGATCGTAGTTTAAAATCCCACTCATGGCATGGATGTCTGTGTGCGATTATTCTGTGTTTGTTGTTCTGTGGGTAGGTAGCCGCCTTGCAATGGGCTGATCCCCCATCCAAGGAGTCCTACCGACTGTGTATAGGATTAAGAAACTGAAAAGCAGCTAAGGTCCAAAGGGCTGTATAGTCAGAGCCAGAGAGAGGGAAGTGTTAGAACAAAATGCTTGGCTGTACCAATAGGTACAAAAGTGAACTGTGTGTTAGCAGTATACATCATATTTATTTACAACGTTCTCAGTGTCTGAGTACTTAATGTTATGAATTTGGAAATGTTAGCAGTTGGACTCATAAGCATTTTGTTGGTGGTTTGTACTTGTGATAATATGTACCCAAGAAGTACTTGTATGTTGTCATTATTTATATTGAAGAACTGTGAGTTCTTACGTTGAGGTATAGAATTTTTATTGGCTCAGATAAGCGTGCAACAGAATGTTCTTTATAAAAAAATGTTGAATAGAAGCATCCCTTCATCTGTCTCCTTAACTTTTCCTTCCATACTTTCCTTATCATACAAGCAGTTGACTTCAGAGATTGATTGCAGCAGGACTGATTTCTTTGGAACAGGCCAGATGTTTATGACATAGTGTAATTTATAACAGAAATTTAGTAATGCTTAATATATATCCAAGATTTCCTCCACTGTTTAACATAAATATATAAAAAATGCATCAAAGAACGGCATGGCATATTTTTTCACTGTAAGTGAAGGACAAATTTACTGGTAAAAAGTCTGTTTCTATTGAAAAATCAGTCCAAACTGTGAAACATATCTCAGCAATGAGGCTTGGAAACATCAAAGCACCAATCAGTGGTGTTTAAGTCGCCATTCTGATTAGAAGTCGTTTCCAAAATGACTGGTGCGCCCACCTGGGTTGCATGACGACATGCCGGGTTCATGAGTAGTAGAACTATATGAGT